CGTAAAGAAAAACATGCAATAAACAAAATCTCACGTTTATAAATTCCTAAACTGTATTTGTGAGGAAACAGCTTAATTAAAGTAACAAGTGAGGGAGGGGGGAAAGATCTGTGCCAGTAAAACTGCACTCCTCTCATTGTCTCTTGGTTATTTAACAGAATTCAACCCGACTAAAAGGGGTGACGGTAACCTTTAGAGCTTTCTTTGACCTCTCTTCTAGGTTACATCAAGGAGGAGAAGAGCCCTCAGGGACGTTCACGAAGAAGGCAGCCCTTTAACGCTTTATTCTCCCCAAAGCGAAGCCAGAAGCAGAGCTAATTCATTACTACAGATTAGTTTAGATAAGCTGTGCAGAGCGCAGATATGTTGCTGCCATTACGGCTTAGGAAACATGGAGACACACTTTAACACAACCACATGGCGTGACTTTCTCTTATCACAGTGGTTGTAAGACTGTAAAGACTTTGTGCTACTTGTAGATGATGTAAATAAAATGAAGAGGTTTAACACGTTGGAAATGTGTCGGATATTTAATTAAATTCAATTAATATAGTCAAGGGTCCAAACATTTTTCATTTTTGAAGGAAATTCTTGTAGCTGAATGATTAATCAACCCATGAGCTACATAGATAGATCTTTATTCAGATTGTTAAAATAAATGAAATAGAAAAAATACAATCTCTTTCAGTAAGAAGTGCAGCTTTTTTCTTTCGTTTTACAGAGGAGAGTCTCTGTCTGAATACAGCAGCAGCGCTTCTCCAACATGACTGACCATCACACTGTTCAAAGAGGAAACAGAATTGGTTTGAAACTATTCAATAGGAAGTGTTTTTCTTTACTTTAATGTATAAATAAGATAATATATACTTTAATAGATGTAAAAATTAAATAACTGGTCTTACCAAAGCAGAGACATGGAGTTGATGTCTGTGTAGAAAACCAAAGGAGAAAGGAACACCGCAGTAACCTGGGAAAAAAATGGTAGAAAACAAACTCTTATTTCAAAACAGTTTATTTTTATTTATCCGATTATTTATTATTTTTTACCTTCGATAGAAAAGCCCAAACCCTGAAGTGCTCCAGGGAGAGCCCACGTTTTAACCTGACAGTGGAAAGCAGTAACAAAAAACCCAGCAAAGCGCTGCAAAGACAGAAACCCATTACAGTCCACATTAGATCCAACTAGGAAGCTTAAAGCTATATAGACATTAGGGACGCTCACCTGGCGCAGCAGCCGCAGTGAAAGGAGTGGGAATGCAGAGAGGGGAACTCCAAGACACCTGTGAAGTCACCTATAGGGTAAAGCAAAGCTTCCTGATGTAAAAATGCACATATCAAACAGGATGAATGGGTCCGCTGATGTGTTTAGACGTACCTGTTGGATGAGCAGCCAGACCCAGCAGCAGCACGCTGTTGTTCAGAGAGAATCAAGGCTTTAAATGGAGTCAAATAAAGCTGATTATGCATCCATTGAGGATTCACCTGCTAAATATCTCTGATAGATCTCATAGCATGTCTCCCTACCATATTCAGCCTTCCTTTTCCTTGTAGCTATCCTGCTCTAAATCATCCCTACCATCCGTCATCTTCCACCTTTGATGTTCCTACTCCTTCAGCTTCTCGAAAGAATTGAAGCTATGTACCCAATAACTTTGACATCATTCAAATTGCAGTAAATCAGTGTCTTTACTTAAACGATAAGGGTATGAAATGGGCTCTGATATGAAACGATCATCCAAATGTGTTCTTACCTGAATAAGTAGTTGACGCATTGCTGTTCAATGTCACTAAAAAAAAAAACATCAATCAAAAAGAAATTTTTTTTCTTCCACAATTTTTCTTTTAAATATTGATGCAACAATAAAAAATAAAGGAAATCCTAGACAAAGCCGATTGTTCCTGTATATAAATAAGAATCAAAGCTCTGAACAGAAGCTTAAAAAAATTAATTATGAATCTAGAAGTTCATAAAATGGTGGCCCACAGAGAACCATCACGTCTGAACCATCACATTTTTTCCCATACTTTTTAGATATCTGCTCTCAATCTTTTTGGAGACCAAAAAATATCCTGATGCAGATATGTGGAATCTAGAGTCAAAAAGTCATCTCTGTCATGTATTTGTTCTGCACATCCCCCTTAAGTAGATGAGTTGAACCTGTGCAGACTCACCTGGTTTAGTTGGTGGACGGAACAAATACAGGACACTGAGATGAATTGTTGACTCCAGATCCCTCATCTCTGATCTGATCATATACAATCATATTTTATGTGATATACAAGCTATCAGAACCATCCGTAAAACAGCCAGCCCCTTTGTGAAAACATGAATAAACTATGATTATCTGCATGTTTTTGGCTCAGTTTCAATGGACACACTGAGGTCTGTTCACTGCTGGATCTGTGGAATAAAAAGACTAAAAGATCTCTAAAAAGGACTGATTGCTGTGATTTAATGGGACCATGAAGAACATCCAGCTGTCAGTTTGTGACCCGGGGCTTTTGAGTTTAAAAGGAAAAGGAATCCAGATGGAAAATAAACAACAAAAAAACTTAAAAAACAATTGATATCCAATTGTGAGGGTGTTGCATTGAATTAGACTCTTCATTCTCAACTGCCATCCAATGTAGCTGTAAAGACGGAGGCCCAATCCCAAACCGCCCCCTACTCTCTACCCCTAACTATTGAGTGTCACTCCCAATTAAGTCGATTGGCAGCTGTGGAGGGCGATTTGATTAAAGGTGTAGTTGGGGTTAATAAGAATAGGACGGCTAGCCTGTTAAACCAGACTAAATGTGAGATTAAATGTGTAATTTAATCTGGCCCCGATGAATGAGACAGTGGAAGATTGTTGATGAGAACAATCTGTTGTTTTTCAAACCATGTCTGTGCCTATTGGCCGAAGCTCTGACCAATGAGCGCAACTGACTGTGACGTAGAAAGCGCGACAGAAAGCTGGTGGGGGAGTGTAAACAAACAGCCTGTCGGTAAAACGGAGAATACGTCCTTAAAAATGAATGAGCGTAGAGCCTCTTCCTGCTCTCGTTTAAATGGAAACCCCAAGTCTAATCCTTCCAAAACTGATTCCAAAGCTGAGTCAAAGGAGAACTGTTCAATAGTTGTTTCCATCTTCCCTGTTGTGCTTTCTCCAGCGTCGCTCAGCTTTGTCGTCACGCCCTCAAAACCCCGCCCACTTTGCACTGACACTAGTTTTTACTTTTCGTTGATTTCACTTTTATAGTAAAATCATAATTAGCATGCAGAGGGAGCGGTAAACATCTAGGAAATGAGTCAACTTAAAATATTTTTCCACACTTTTTTTGTTCCCCATGGTAATTTTTTTTGTCATACTTTCTTTTTACCATTTAATTCCCTTTCTTTATAAAATGTTATACCGACCTCAGATTGGTGGACTTGTGTTGAACTTTAAACACTCTGTATGCCCCTGAAAAAGACAGATAATGAGGTGCTTCAGGCAACATCTTCCATCAGAAAGGCTCCTTGGATGCTACCAGAACCTACCAACACAGGAGAGATGGAGCAGAGCCCAAAGGTAGCCACTTTGGTCAAACTGTGAAGAAAGGAGGGAAAGTAACAAGAAATGTGGCGGTGACAACATAAATCCACCAGTTCATGGAGAACTGTTACCTGGGGGTCATACAGGGGAAGGTTGACGGCCGACAGCAGCAAGAGGAAAAGGCTGGAGGAGGAAGGATGTTTAAAATACAGATATTCATGAGTTTCAACATTTGTTTAAAACAAACAAAAAAAGAAAAACCCCATACATTTATATAAGTTCATTGACATTTTAAATATCTAGATCAGGCACAGACAGTCTCAAGAAAAGTTATCTTCTCTTTCTTTTGAGAAGTTTAATTTCTCTTGCGGATCAATAAAGCCTTTTTGAAATGAACAAAATCAAAGATGCCTCAGTCCTGTGAGAAACAAACTAGGAGACCCTCGTTAAATAATCATATCACATATCCACAGCTGATCTTTTTTAAACGTATCCATGAAGAATAAAGTGATTTCACAGATATCAAATAAATAAAATCCTTTACTATGGTTCTACTGAACACACACACATCTCTTTCATCCATCCTCTGATCACATCTGTGATAAACCTTTGCCTCCAGACTGTGAAAGGTCAGCATTACTCCAGTTGCCCTACTTTGTGAGGACCCAATTAAACAAGCTTTTTTTCAACCAAAAGGCATTTATCACTTTATCAAGTTTAAATGTGATTATAGGGAAGGAGCTCTGATTTTTTAACTGTGGGTTTATAATACAATTTTATTTTGTATTCATTTGGATTCCTTACTAGCTTCATATTATAGTTTATCAACATATTTATGTTGTTTTTTTTAATTTGAGATGGAAAGCATAAAATGCCTAAGAATTAAATGTTCAAATTAAAAGATGAAGTACTTTTTATTTTATAATCAGTTATTGTTTGTTCAACTTTCATCAATACAAGACAATCACCAGTTTTGACTGAGAGGGGTACTTATGGTAAGACAAAATGTCCAAAAGGGAACACCATCCTAAGAAAAAAAAAACTTACCTGATGACTTTAAGCCACTGTTTCTTCTGTTGGAAGAGAGAGAACAACACATTATACATAAGAGTAGGGCTGTGAATCTTTGGGATTCCCACGATTCGATTTAGAATCGATTCTTGGGGTCACAATTCGATTTTTTTAAATCCAGGTAAACTCTATCAACAACTCTGGCTGATGTCTTTCGAGATGAGAACGGGGATTTGAAGTACTCCCGAAATACTTAACTTTACCGTTGCAATCTCTGCAAATCGCATGAGTCATGTCAAGCCCTTTCTTACTCGGTAAAAAGGTCAAATCCAAAGTGTTTCCAAATGGTCGCTTTTAAAGACTGTCCAGGTGGTTGGATTTCTTTTTCTTCGTCCTCCATACTTTAGCAGCAACAAACACAGTAGTTCACACAACACTACACACCACTCTGTAGCCTGCTAGGCTAACGCTTGCATGCCTGTGCATAGCTCACGCTGCTCATTGGTTTGGCCAAACACTACGGTGCCTGATAAGGCACATCCGCACCCAAAAAAACAAAAGAGAATGTATGGAGAATCTATGGAAGCCCGTTCCCGCCACTCTGTAAAAAAAGAAAAAAAAATTATCTCATTATAATGAGATAGCAACTCAATATAATGAGATAGAATCTCATTATAATGAGATAGTATCTCATTATATTGAGTTACTATCTCATTATGAGATACATTTTTTTTTTCTTTTTTTACAGAGTGGCGGGAACGGGCTTCCATAAGAATCGATTCTGAATCTTTAAATGTTAGAAATGCGATTTGAGCTCAAATAGGTTTTTTTTCTTCACCCCTACATAAGAGGTCCATGTTTCTTGAGATATAATAACTGTATTATAATGTGAGAAGAGGTACTTTTTGTTTACATAAAAAGGGCAGAAAATACTGCAGATAGAAAAAATGTTAATGATTCTAACAGCGGTATGGATCCAGATAAAACTTTTTGAACATGGTGAAATGTGCAGCAACTAAAGTTTCTAAATCACAAGTGGTCTTTGCCTTAAACCTGGTAAGTAAGCTACTAACTCATATTAATTAACTTTTTTAATTTATAGTAGATAAAAAATATTTTTGCACTTCATTTGTTTTTTGTTTTTTTAAGGGAAATTTTTATTTTGCGATTGGGTTTGTAATGTAACAATAAGAAGAGGTATCAATAGCAGTGCAATGAATTTAACTTCTCCAAATTGTTTTTTTCCCTTTTAAATGATCTGATTTTCACAGCCTGCATGGGAAGCTAGAAGATGAGCTGCAGTCTGTTGCTCTAACAGAATGCTGCTGGTGCACAGGGCTGGTTATATGACACCAATAGCAGGCAGTTAATGCACTTACCTCTCTGTGAAAGGCACAGGCGATTATGTAGCTAACTACATGAGAGGAATTCTGAAGCGTGAAGAAAAAGGGAATGTCCTGTGCAAAAGAAAAAAAAAACTGTGAAAAACCCCAATATTTACTTACAGACACTAAATGTGGCTGTTACTCACTATGCGTGATAAGGCCCTGGAACCTGCATATATGTTTCCTACAAACAGGAGTGATCCTGGAAGCCAGGAGAGAGCAGCAGCTCTGCAACACAAAAGGGACGACTCTTATGTCTGTAAAGCAGGCAGGCATAACCATACAGTAAATCGTTAGAGAGGAGTACCTCGGGATGGGATTCAGCTCCACCCATCCCAGCTTCCCAGACAGCAGGAGCAGGACGGCTCCAATAAAGGTCTGCCATCTGAGAAAAAAGCATCTTTGTTACTTTAGGATTGAGAAAGCAGGCAGTACCTACAGGGCGGTCCCAGATCATATATAGTAATGGGGGGATTAATGGGCACAAAGAAAAGAATGAAACAAAAAAAAGGATAATAGCTATTAGATCAATAGAGCTGCAGAACTGAAGAGCTACTTGTGACTCTGCACTGATTGAACTGCCATTTCCACATGATTTTTTATTTATTTACATTTTATGTTGTTCCATTTAAAATATTGTATTATTGCCCTTAAACTGTCAGTTTTACTTTACCTAAAAATAAGAATACCTTACAATGGGGAAAAGAGTTGCTAAAATAGTTACCAAATATCTACTAAAAGATACAATAGAAAGATTATTTTGAATATTAGGTCAATGTACATTTATAATGCAGAAATAGTGCATATTTCTGACTTATTCTAAATGGAAATGATCAGTTTTAATCACGATTTAGGTAGAATGAGAAATTCAGCTGTAAGAAATTACAGTATTTTTTTTTTCAGTTCAAAAAATAACATTTAGCAGATAAAAAAAATGTGATTCTATCTCAATAGGACTGAAACTACTACCTTCCATTTTAAATTATGATACAACAGAACTGTAAAGGAAAATATCTGTTCCACTGCATACCAGTTTTTTTTTTTTTTTTATTATATCTTCAATGGAGGGGCCAGAATTAGCCTACAGGGGCAATGGCCCCTGATGTCCCCTGTCTAGAACTGCTTCCCCCCCCCAGCTACTCACCCTTGAAATAAAGTTGGAAAGGTGAACTTCAACACAGACAGGACGAACTGCAAATGAATTAAATGTTAGGTTAGCGTTTTGACAGGGATAGTACCAGCATTCTTACAGCGCCTTATAAAAGTATTCATACTCCTTCTTTTTTTTTTTTGTTCAATCAATATTCCCATTAATTCAGCAGCTTCCCTTTCCCTGCTGAAGGAAAAGGAGCGCCTTATCATGATGCTGCCACCACCATGCTTCACAGTGAGCTAAGTGTATTGAAGGTTATAAGCACTGTTACTTATCCTTCATAAATGGCATTTTCCATGTAGATCATAATGATAAATGTTTGTCTTATCTGATAAACACCTTTAGTCTGTCTTCAGTTTTCCACTAGCTCTCCATCATTCCTCTGTTTTTAAGAACCTAACCTAAAATCATCTCTTCTATGGCTCAACAAGCCTATTTCTGCCCTTTCAGCTGTGTTCCTTTTTATTCAAGGTGCTTTTTGTTTGCATTAAAGAAACAACCTCCCACCTTATTTTCCTTGGGACTTAAATTAGATCCTTGCTGTAGATGCTTCTAGATTATGTAGGACTTCATACCTTCAAGACTCACCTTGTTGGTGAAATATGATACAACGAAAATGAAGCTGAAGGCGAGGCCAGAGATATGGCTCCTCCAGTGCATGATGCTCCACAGACGCGCTGCAGCAGGGACATGATTTCTATGAAAGATCCAACATTTCACTCAATGCAGCGCCTTTCAAAACAGAAGCTTTTCAATCCAGGAAACTTCCCTCACTGACGACACGTCGATACAACAAAGATCGTCTATAATGGCCAGGATCAAGCTCTCGCCGGGAACCAACCTGCTGGGTCGACAAGAATATATATATTATCATTTTTTATTATTAATTGATATTTGCTTTTAGGATATGATAATGATATGTTTTTGATTTGTTTGACTTTATTTTGACTGTTTATAAAAAAATTAAAAAATATTCCTAGATTTAATCCATGACAAATTACGGTGAAACTAATTAACAAAAAAATAAAAATAAAAATAACGTTTATTGACTAAACTGTTGAAATGACTCGTGTCTTTCTTATTAAATATTGAGAGAAAATCTGTAACACAGATCTTCATCATCCAACAGGGATAGATATTATTATTTTTTAATTGTTAATTGATATTTACTTTTAGGAAATGATAACAAAATACTTGTTCTTGATTTGTTTGACTTTGTCTGTTTATAGCATATACAAAACAGTCATATACAATTACACACCGTTGTTTTATTTATTTAATTGTCCATAAAATCCTAGATTTCATTCATAACAGTTTGTGAATAGTGGAGAAATAATGATTAAAAATTACGATGAAACTAACTAACAAATAAAAAAACCTTTCTTTACTAAGCTGTTGAAATTACTCGTCTCTTTCTTATTAAACATTTAGAGAGAATCTGTAACACAGAGACAGGGGGACGTATCGCTGACCTCGGGAAAAAAAGAAGAAAATAAATCAGAGTGAAGGCTCTTCGTCAAGATCCTAATCTGACAGTTGGTCACGTGACGTCAGACTAGCTTCCGTGTTGACAGAGCTGCTGCTTTTGTTGCTGCCCCGTGTTGAGTTTCTAAAGAGGATGCGGTGCCGCCGCCGCCGACATGGCTTTTTTTAAGACGCAAGAGCGAACCAAAGAACGGTTAGTTTCCTCTTTTATTACTGTGTCCGTCTGGGAGGTCAGCTCGTGGCTTTTTTTTTTTTTATATCCGTTGCAGCTGCGCATTAAAAAAGCCCCCAGCGGGGTGTTTGCTTTCACTGCGGCTGAATGTCATTTATTTACAGGCTAGTGAAAGCTTCACTGACAGCTGAGGGGTGCTTCTCATTATTGAAGCCCCTGAAGCTGCTGTTTACGGTTTAGACTGATCCGGGGCAGACATGAAATCTGCCGCATCTAAAAAAAAAACAATAATACTTGTACTCTGTTCTATAATTAAACTCAACAATCATCTCTGCTTGACCTCTTTAATAAGAGCTGAGGTCATAGTAGGTCACTCTCGCTTTGGACACCTTGAAGAGGAATTTTTATCCATTAGGGGTAGCTTTATTTATTTATTTTTTTAGATAGACAAAAGCTAGACATCAAACGCAGACCGACATCATATTTCCCCAACTTAATACGTCAATCAATGGCAGTTATAAGCTGTGGACTATGGGGTTCCATTTGTGCCAAAAATATGTTCATGCGTCTTCGCCAGAAGACTTCATCAGAAGACGCATGAACATATTTTTGGCACAAATGGAACCCCATACAGCTGTGAGGAGGTCCCAGGAAGGATTATATATATTATAATCTAAGTGTTTGTTTTTTTTTAAGTTGAGAACAATATTTCAGTTTGGTGTATAGACAATTTCCTGATTCACATATTTTATAAAAAACCTGAACTGACCATTTATTGTGTTGATTAATTTTTGGATGTTAGGCTGCCCTGCAAGGCTTTAAACCTAGGTTTGATAGCCACAAAGATATTCTCCTAGCCTAGTAAACTAGCCACACCCACCAGCGGCCCAAATCGTTTTCGCCTGCGACTGGTCTAGCCTCGATCAATGCCCCGGGCCCTAGAACTGGCGGGCCAATCACAACCCAGAGATGTGTTTTGAATTCCTGGATGCAAAGAGGAGGAAGTTTTGAGGGCGTGACAACAAAACTGCCCAACACTGGAGAAAGCACAACAAGGAAGATAGCAACAACTATTGAACGGTTCTCGTTTGATTCAGCTTTGGAATCAGTTTTGGAAGGATTAGACTTGGGGTTTTGGTTGAAACGTGAGCAGGGAGAGGCTCTACGCTCATTCATTTTTAAGAAGGATGTATACGTCATTTTACCGACAGGCTGTTTGTTTACACTCCCCCACCAGCTTTCCGTCGCGCTTCCTACGTCAGTCAGTTGCGCTCATTGGTCAGAGCGTTGGCCAATAGGCACAGACATGGTTTGAAAAACAAGGGGTTGTTCTCATCAACAATCTTCCGATGTCTCATTCATCGGGGCCAGACTAAATTACACATTTATTCTCCCTTTTAGTCTGGTTTATCAGCACATATCAAGGTGCTCATTTTGAGCCTGGATCAATTTATTTTTGATTATATTCATGGTGGAGAATCCTGCTTCACAGNTCAGCTTTGGAATCAGTTTTGGAAGGATTAGACTTGGGGTTTTGGTTGAAACGTGAGCAGGGAGAGGCTCTACGCTCATTCATTTTTAAGAAGGATGTATTCGCCATTTTACAGACAGGCTGTTTGTTTACACTCCCCCACCAGCTTTCCGTCGCGCTTCCTACGTCAGTCAGTTGCGCTCATTGGTCAGAGCGTTGGCCAATAGGCACAGACATGGTTTGAAAAACAAGGGGTTGTTCTCATCAACAATCTTCCGATGTCTCATTCATCGGGGCCAGACTAAATTACACATTTATTCTCCCTTTTAGTCTGGTTTATCAGCACATATCAAGGTGCTCATTTTGAGCCTGGATCAATTTATTTTTGATTATATTCATGGTGGAGAATCCTGCTTCACAGCAGCAGGTTGAGGCAAACGTACTCAAAATGTGCAGGGTCATCTTTGATGTCACTTTTCTTTCAACAGTTCACTGCAGTTCTTCCAGCACTCCACGCTTTCTTTCACTTTTTCTCATCTTCTCTCTCTTTCTCATCGCCAGGCTTGCCACAGGTTGGCCTGCTGTGTCTAAAAGTAGCTAGCACTGACTGACACAGCTCATTGGCTAATTAGCATCACGTGCAGCTTGGTCATGGAGGGCTTTACCGTACGAACAGGAGAAGCGACACAAGTGAAATTAGACACTGCTGTCGGAAAACATGCAGTAATTTATAAATGTTTGAAATCAGGTTGGGTCTGGATTAGCGAGCAGATGGGTCTGGATCCTGATCCTAGTGCGCTTATCCGTGACCTCTTCTTTATAGAGTGGACCAAAACAGAAATCATGCATATTGAACTGGAAGAACAGGTCCGCCCCTTAGGAATGGGGAGTCGTTGAGATCTTTTGTTAGCCTGCAATGCCTGATACTGGTCTATGCCTCTGGTATATGCCTCATGAAACAAAAGTCAGTTGGTATTAGGACTGCAACTAATGAATAATTTGCAAATCGATTTAAACTATTGATTATTTTTTCAATTATTAATCGCTTAGCCAAACCTTCCTTAATGAAGATTTTTTACAGTTCTATAACTTTTCTACACCAGGAGTTCTGGATAGAGCATATTGACAGATACAAAAAAAGTTTTTTTTTTTTTTCTTAAATGCTATTTTTTTTAAATATATATATAGAAATGTTTAAATTTTGGTATAATTGCTGCTCTTAGTGGTTTCTCTGTCAGCTAAAGGCATGTTTTAAACTCTCTATACTCCAGTTAACGATCAAGTGCTTACTAAATACTAAATTAGTTTACGATTATTTTAATTATCAATGAATCACAATTAATCCGATTAATTGTTTCAGCACTAGCTGGTTTATTGCCCCTTCAGTTGATCTTTTAAATGTTTATGATGCACATTCAACTAAGTAAATAGGATTCAGTCAGCTCCAAGAAAATAGAGATGACTAAATTGTTGTTCTTGCTTCCCTTCAGCTGGACAGGATGCCTTCCAGAAGGAAAACGGCAATTAAAATCCAGCCAGAGCGACAGAGTGGCTCAGATCAGAGCCTTTAATCTGTTACATTCCACTTTTTGATGTGACTCCTTTTCAATAAGTCTGAATCAGCTAAAAATGACCTGATGGAGGATGAATGTTACTGTGTGCTAAAGAGGTCATTTGATTCAGGCTTGTTAAACTTTTATCTAAACGTTGCAGGACAAAAGCTAGGACTTGAGTTTGAGAAGGTCAAGTCAAAGGCCAAATCTAAACCCAGCTTAAATCTACGACAATAATTGAAGATTGAAGCTTAGAGGTGCTCTCTGTCCAGGCTGACCAAGCTTGGAAGCTGTTTTTCAGTTTTGATTGGGGACGTTTTAAGAAAAACTCTGTTAATGTGGTTTATGAAGCGTTTTTCGTTCTTCTTAAAATAAATCTTATTTTCTGAGAGGGATTCTCTTTATGGGAAACATGTGAGATGAATTAGATGGTAAAGCCTCTGTGACAGACAGCCTCTGTTTGTTTAGTGTGAGCACTCTGAGCAAACAGCATCTGGTTAGTAGGGAAAAAAACAAAAAAACAACAAACTTTGATGTCATCAGTGAACCGGGATGCTGTTTGTTGGGAAATAATTCAAATAATTTGATTGTTTTAATAATTGTTTGCTATAGATTCATCCAAATGTGACCAGATGTTCAACACAACCTCCATATTTGTCTTTTTTTTAACACTGACTCAAACGTTTTTTTATCATTATTTTCAGCTTATATGGGAGGAATCTGGTAAGAATCACTGCTGAGAAAACATGTCAGAAGATTAAAAGATAATAATAAACTTTACCTAGAGCCATGGATAGTTTTAAGTTTATTTATGGTGTTTTGCGAAAGTATTCACACTCCTTTTTTCACACTTTCGGTGTTACAACACACACTTCAATTAGATCAGGATTTTGTGCGAGGGTTCATTTTGAAGCTGTGCATAAATTATAAAACACAGTGTTTTAAATGTAGTTTTAAAAACCCAGAACTCAAAAGTTTAGCCTGCATATACTGGGTGTCCAGTTTTCATGAATCATTACTTTGTGATCTTCTTGCTGCATTTCCAGCTGCAGGTCCTTAGGGATATTTCTCCACCAGCTTCTTACGGCCCGACCCGACTAAGATATTTGGCCAGACTTCTTTGCAAACCTGCTTAGCCTCAGTCAAACTGAATGACTGCAGCTAGCACGTTTCAAATCTTGTCACAGATTCATTTGATTTACATCTAGTTTTGAGCTTTAGTTTAAACCTTTCAGTTGTTTTTCTTTAGGGTGTATGTTTGACGTTATTGTCCAGCTGGATGGTTAACTTCTCTCTTCAGTCTTTTTAGCCTTTTACTTTTGTTTTCTTTAGTCTTTAACATTTATTTTATTTGATTTTCCTGTGTTTATTCATCCATTTTCCAAGTATTCCCACAGCATGAATATCACTGCTGTTTTTCACCTAAGACATGTTGAGTCCAGGGTGATGTGAAGTGTTAGTTTTCAACTTTTCTTTTTTTTTAATTGTCATTACACTGTCATAAGTACAGAGCAACGAACTCTCTGCATTTAACCCATCCCCTTGGCGAGCAGTGGGCTGCCATTGTGCGGTGCCCGGGGAGCAGTCTGGGGTTAAGGGTCTTGCTCAGGGACCCAGACTAGCAGTCCGCAGTGTGAGGGACTAGAACTCAGAACCTCCAAGACCTAAGCGCTAACCACTAGGCCACCTCCTCCCCTATTTCCGCCACACATTTAGATTCTAATGACTTTCTTTCAACAATAGTTTCCCTATGATAACTTCAGCATAAGAACCAGATTTATGGAGCACACTACTAGTTGTTCTGTCAACAACCATGTTTGTGAGACACTGTGCTGCCAAAGGTTTCTCTCATTAACCAATTGAGTATTCCTGTTTTGTTTTTTTTCTTTCTGTCACTCTCTGTGACATTAAGACTCTAACGCATATAGTCTGTTTTCAGTGGTCTAATTCATTTGTTTTTTGTTGTTTTCCTGCAGGTTTTCTCTCTTGTTGCTGGACCTGGAGGAATATTACTTTGAGCAGCACACTGGTTACCACCTGATCAGCAATTCAAGAAAAGAGAAGTAAGCTACAGCATGAAACTAAATCTGAACACCTGCTTCGCATGATGAAAAGACTTTATCAGACTTTAGCCTGAAATTTTGAAGACGTGAGCTCTGATGTTTCACTACTTTTATCATTTAAAACACAGTTCTGGCTTGAACCTGTTAAAGGATCGGTTCAAATATTATATGATTAAAAAACTAAAAAGAAATTAATATTAAACAATCAATAAATATTAACATAGTGAGTCTGTTTGAAAGCTGAGCTTAACTCTACTTTCCTTCATTTTGGAAAATGAATGATTTTCGCTCTCAGAGTTAATGTTAACAGCACTGATCAACTTAAACACATTAAAAAGCACAACTCCTCCAGCTGTGCAGTGGACATGATCACATTGTTCTGTTTTAGGTTTGCTCGGCCTCCTTCCTTGTCCTAAAGTTTGCTTACTTTATACAAACAGCCTTTCTGCTGTTCATTTACTGTTTTCTGGAGTTCATGATGTCACATCTTAAGTAAATAATTACCCTTATTCTTAGAAAACAACCTAAAACAAGCAACTATGTTCCTGCCCTCCACTAAAGCCTCCCCCAAAAAGCTGTTATGTATTTTATGAAATGATAAGGAAATGTTTCATCTTTTAAAAGTGAAATGAAAGTAAATAAAACCTGATCTTAGAAATTTTGATTCTTTATACTTTTACCAACAGTTCTATTATTTCTCTGAGATTTATTCCATTTTTTTACTGTAGTTTTATTTGATACAAAGTAGAAACAGTGCTGCTTTTTTCTTCTTTCCAGAAAAACCCGAGGGTCCATTAAGGTTTGCTCCAGATCTATCATATTTGAGCCTGACAGTCATTCAGAGCCGATCCTAAAGGTTTGTGTTGATATTTGAAATGCATTTCTAATCCTTCACTTAATACAGATTATTAAACTGCACTTAGATTTAGCATAATGGCACCTTCTTAACACTTTTACCTTGGAATCATGAAAGGATTGGGTTTTTGAAAGCTAAGAAAGTCAAGTTTATAATTCTTTTTTTCATATATTGATTTATATTTTATTGTCCTTCACAGATTAAATTTACAAACTAATAAGGTAATGCAGAGCCAATACGTTAAGATTGTCACAACAGGTTTTCCTTGTGTGCCTCTATAATGATACATTAGGTTTTGAACATAAAACGTTAGCAAAACAAAGAGAAAAGGAAATAATTTAAGTGAAATTGTAGCTTTGAACAGGGATGTGGTATAAATAACTCTTATGCACTGGAAAAAAATCAAAATCTAGATAAGTAATTTTTTCTTAAAATAAGTGCATTTGTTCTTGGATTGAGAAGGTAAGAGATACATTTTGCCAATGGAACAAGACAATTTACCTTTAAAATAAGAAAACACAATTAAATTGTCTTATTTCAAGTGCATGTTATCAAATTATCGTATTTTAACCCTTTATAGGGCAAGTTAGCGTTTTTTATCACTTGTATACTCTTTACAATTAGAGTTCCCCCCCGTCCCTCAGTGAGTTCTAGAAGTACAAGATCTATATCCAGCCATTCAGCAAAGATGCTGCTACATGTCTGCACATCTTATTTTGGCATTTGACCATTTAGATGAGCCCTTGAATGATATAGTATCTACTGTAAATTAAGTTGGTATAAAAAAGTTAACAAGTCAAAAAATTTTTTAAAAAGTAAAGTTAAAAACTTAATAAGCCTAGTTAACAATTATATTTAGGTTTATAAACTAAAAAATGTAAGTGCCAGTATCGGCATTAATGGCTCTAAGGTTATGTTGGACCAAAAAAAAAAAAGTGTTTCTTTTCCTCTCACAGTGTTTTTCATGAATTTCTTATAAAAGTACTTTTGTTATTTTTCTTAATATATTCGGGAAAGTTGGCATTTCTTATTATTATATTGTCATTAATTTCTGCCTTGAAATATCCATATTTTTTTAATGTACAAAGGTAAAAGGTAAATGTCTTGTCCTGGATTCCAATAACACTATTGGCTTGAAAATTGAATTTCGAAGTATTTCACTAACTGCCCTAAAAAGGGTTAAGAGTTAAAATACCTATTACTTTGGCAAAACTATCTCATTTACCTAATCAAATTAAGGGTAAATACACTTGATTTAAGAAATGTTTTACCTACTTCTAGATCGTTTTTCCAGTGCGACATTCCTTATATTATAAATGTCCTTTCCTCATTCTTGTGTTTCCTCCATTAAATAAACATCCAGCCTTCCCAATAAGCCCCTAAACTAAATCTATTCTATGTTGCTTTATATACTTTTGATATTTTTAAATTTCTCAATTTCCAGTCTAATAGATGCGGTTAGTTTTTCCATATAAATGGTTAGCATTACATTAAGTCAGTCATCCACATTTGGAAACAAATCATTTCGCCATCCTCTGGTTATTGCTTTCTTACAAGCCAACAACAAAATTAGAAGTAATATATAATCGTTTCAATAATTCACGACTGTTCTCATAATGGTCTGTTTTTTTCTTCTTCATGCAAATCGCTGATTGACATATGATAAACTTTAATGATCCCACAGTGGGATCATTTATGCAAAAAAGCAGTAAAAATATTTCTGTGTCAGTTTTTATAGTGTATTCAAACTGGTTCATGATGTCTGTGCAGGTTCCTCTGCGAGACTGTCAGAACATTGAGTCTGTGGAGAAAGAAAACAATCCGTTCAATGAGTGAGTGTCCTTTCATTTCTAAACACTGAATATTTGTTGTTTTGTCAAACCGGTTCCTTTACTGCCAGTTGTTTTGCAACACTGCTTTCTGTTCTGTTTTTGAATTTTTTTACACCGTGACCCAAATCTGATCTGTTTCCAAAGTCTTTATTTTTTTGCGTTTGTCCTGTTTAGCCAATTCAGCTTGGGGATTATTTGTCCCAGAACTAGCTAATAGCCCAACGACTTTGCTTTCTCAAGCAAAACTAAAGCTTCAAAAGTCTTTGAAACCCATCAGATATTTATGTTTTTTGTTTTCTCAGTCCTAAACCTCCGGTCATCACAGTTTCATGTGAACAGGTGAGACTTTCTGTGGCTGCATTTCTTTTTTTCTTTCTGAGTCCAAGCGCTCTACTGACTAAAAGCAGCTAATCCATTTTCCGTTTTTTTCCTCAGGTGATTTTCATCAAGGAAAGCAACGTCATAGCGCCTTACAGAAATGAAAGGGTGAGTCAGCTGGAGCTGAGGAGAAGATGTGCTCCTCCCAGTAGTTTTAATTGCCGTTGTTAAAAACTGTTTATCTCTCTGAGCTTGCTGTTTGATCCATATAATTATAAACTAATGCAATGGCTACAGTTTTTCTGTCTCTTTTAGTTTCTGTTTCTACAACAATAACATGCATAACCTTAAATAAACTTGCCTTCTCACTTTGGCAGGGATCAAAAAAATTAACCTTTGAATTAGAAACTTGGAGTAAAACAGAAGATGTGGTTCAGACATTAATGCAGGTATGTGGCTTTTTTAATATTTTTAAATCTGATTTTAAATTGATAAAGTTATTTGTATCTTGAAAGTAGTTATTTGAAGAAGAAAGCTAATCTTTACCGTACATGTTTCATAGAGCATTAATATGGATTTATCAGTCTAGCTAGATAAAAGCAACGATATTATTAAGACGTTAAAAACAAAGGAATGTTAAAATTAGAAATGAACAGCAAATCAAAAGGAAGCTAAAGCAGGATAAATTGGTTAACATGTATCAGATAAGTAGAGCGACAGCAACGTGGACAAATTTAAAAATGAGCTCTATATATAAACAGCACCAATTCACAAAAACTTATTTCAGTAATTTAAGTAAGAGGGCATTAAACTGTTATTCCTTAGAAGACGTAGGACCTAAAACATCCATCCAGCATAGAGATGAGTACCTCATCAACAAAGGTTTTCAACAGCTGCCTCCCATATTTAATTTAATCCAAGAAAGAAACACTACTTTTTGTCAGAACCTTGGACAAGAAAATCTGCCGAGACTTTGTTTAACAGAGGAGAAGCCTTAAGAACAAACCTAAACAAAAAAAAGTCAAAGATTTACAATCCAAATAGGAAGCCTAAATGTTCCTGATGGACACCAGATGGAAACTATTGACAATGTCAGCTTCACACAATGGATTTAATGGAGTTGGTCTAAGTATTAACTTCTTTGGGGAAAAGTAGGAGTGTCCTGATGCGAATTTTTAATTTCAGATAGAATACAGATATTGGAGCAGTGAGTATTTGCTAATACTGCTGTTCAGCTGATATGATTAGCTTGAAACATACATGCTTTTATTACTTATTTAATATTGTTGAATGTTAGAGAAGGCTTGATCAAGTGGTATTACTTAGAGAACAATAAGAATAACTGACGCATTTAAAATTAATCAGTAGGTTACATAAACTCAAAGCCTAGACAGCAAAAATGATTTACAATTAAATAAAATCTAAAAAAAAATATATATATATATAGAAGAAACTTGTGTATGCCAAGTTTTAATCTCAGCTGTGGGATACAAGCACCGGTAGATAGAAATGCTAAAGAAGAATAAATGCTGGAGCAAATATCAGAGATTTAGACACAGGCGGATAAAATTCAAGTTTTTATATATTTTTTTATTCTGACTGATATTGGACTGATTGGATCGGGACCTATTAAAAACCTTTTTTCTATTCATCTTAGGGCCAATCAGTGAGAAGTACTCTGTTTGTCAAATTGCAGGAATACCAAGCCCCCCAGTACAAACAAAATTGTAATAAAAAACATTTGAAAAACCAGAAGTGATTCAGGATGACCTTAGTAAAGCCTGTAGAAAAGAAGTGGTCAAATACAGACTCAGGGTAGTAAAACCGGTGAATCTCAATACTAGTGTTTAAGATGTGTAATATTAATTTAACCAGATAACAGAGACAAATCAGGTTACCTTTTATAAGCACTGGCAACACACTTCTATGCTTTTATTTAACAAGATGTGTGTTAAAGACATTGAATTCTAGCTGTTCCTCAAAGTGTCATAAAACTGTGCCATAAAGTTGTTAATGTGCCAATTAATCGCTGCCTTAGGTAAACATTGTTAGGGCGATGGAGGGATCTCTTTACTTTTTTTCCAAAATGGTGGAATCAGATGGTGAGCACACCTATTTGCTCGGCTTCTTTTCTCATACTGTCGCAGTCAAAGTAACAATAATAAACACTTGGGGCCTGGTGGCAAAACAAAGAACAACCGAAATGTTCTTGTTCTGTGGTAATGTTGTTCTCAGTAGGCCAGGAATGTATTCACATGTTAAATATTGAACCTGGTTGAATCCTACTTTGATTTTCTTTTTATTTCGTCAAATAAATTTGGTGAAATTGTTTAATCTGCTCTTTATCTGTGGGCTTGTGTCTTTTTTTAAATATATTTTTGACTTTTATTGTCCTTTTTTTCTCCTAAATCTTGTAGCTCCACAGGGCTTCCTGTCTGGACAAACTAGGAGACCAGACTGCCATGGTGAGTTGATCATTACCTAACCCCGTCTCATATCTCTAAAGCCTGTTAGATAATAAATGTAACATTTAAAAATTGATTATTTGCTTCCCAGCAACACATATTTACTCTAAAATTTCTGTTTATACATTTTTAGATTGCTGCTAATCTGCAGTCCAGACTGGCAAGGACGTCATTTGATAAGAACTGGTGAGTAAAAGCCTATATTATAGAGATTACATGCATTTTTCATTGGTTTTATTCCTTTTAGTAGCCAGTATTGTGGTTTAACCGTGATGGAATATACCACTGCTCTGCTGTAAAGTTTTCAGAGTGTTGCAGAGAATCCCCACATGGAGTGTGCTGTAGAGATGGTGACGCCTCTTGTGTCCAATCCCGGCCATGTCTGCGTTACAAATGAAAACCTTTACTTCCAGCCTCTTAATGGACATCCGGTAAGTCCACAGACACAGTAGTCGCCATTAAGAGGAGGATGTCAGCAGCTCTTTTAGCTAATTTCACACGAACACTAGTAACATCAAGTTTTTTCAGCAGCATGTGATCCAAATCAGACTGAATGAAGTCAGGAGAATCTACAAAAGAAGGCATGGTCTCAAACCTTTGGTGAGCTTCTTTGAAGGTTCAGAAATCCTCCTGTAAACATCACCTTTAACAACAGTGATGTTTAACGTGCATCTGTTTCTGCTGTTGGATGAACTGTGTGTTTGTTTAGGGGCTGGAGGTGTTCTGTAGTGAGAATAACCTTTGCTCAGACATCTACCTGAAGTTCTACGACCCAGCCGACAGAGATGAAATCTACTACTACATCGCTACCTTCCTGGGTAAGAAAACTCACGCGTGCCTAAATAGTAGAGTAAATGTTGAAAAGATTGTCCAGTTATTCTGAAAAGAGCACATGCTCTGGTTGAAGTACCAGCTTTTAATGATTAAAAGACTGATACCACAAGAAATCTTTTCAAAGTTGTTGTTTTTTTTTTCCCATGCAGTTTTGTAGAAATTTATATTACGAAACAAGTCTGTTGAGGAATTTCCACTTTTATCTGAAGTTTTAATTGATCCAAGTAGTGAAGTTTGCAGAAATTCAGTCAGATGTACTCTTTAGGTTAAGATATAGTTTGACAGATGGAAAAAGGTGTCCATAAAACAATTGACAGCAATCTATGTACACTATGGCACAGTGAGAAGTGTTGATAGATGGAGAAAAACCATAACAGCAATGAGATAACTAAAACAAAAAAACAAAAACAAACAGAAACTGGTTAGAGGAAGGCCACTGCAGCAGTGATGAAGGAGCTGCATGACTTTCTGCAGATTGTGGCTCATTTGTGAGCAACAGTCTCCCGTAACCTTCATAACTCTGAAGCATAAGGAAGGTTGCACAACAGAGGTCTCTCTTTTAAGAAAAACATTCAGGGCTAATAAAGTCCTGCAACAATGCACTATGGAAAAGCAAGCCTTCAAGATCACAAAAAACTAGCATCCTAAAATAACATACTTAAGCTAGTATTCAGTGCAAAGGAAAATTACAGTTTTGGTTAAAAATAATCGCAATTTTTAATATGGCAATATCTTTCAGCCCCATTCAGGGCTCACTAATAACTCCCTATGTTTTGTAGGGTTATGTGATATGATCCAATATAACTAAGACGTTTATAAAAAAGCTAAAAATGACATAATATCTGGATGTACCTGAAGAGGGGTTTGGACCAGATGTCAATTTGAATAGGTTTGGAGACTGTTTGCATGGTGGAGTAGAGAAATATAACCAAGTGCAGGCGTGGGATGCTGCCAAAAAGAATCAGCACTGAAATTCTATCCATAGTTACTTCAGTATTGCTTTATTTCAAAGAAAAAATCTCTACTAGAAATTGTTTTTTTTTTAATTGAAAACTTAGATGCATGATTAAAGGTAGAAGAAATATTTAATGTTCTCACGTATGCCGCACATGTCCTGAAATTTTCCAATGTTTATATGCGGTTCCCTTAATGATCCCCCAACTTTGATGTTTTTTTTTCAGTTAATTAAGCAGAGATGGCAAAAGTACTTACTTTCCGTACTTGAGTAAAAGTACAGATACTTGTGTTAAAAAATACTCTGGTAAAAGTGGAAGTACTGATTAAACTTCTTTACTCAAGTTAAAGTACCAAAGTACAGGCTTGTAAATTTACTTAAAGTATAAAAGTAAAAGTAGAAACCACTTTTTTCATGCCGTTGCCTACATTTTAAATGGATGTCTGCCAATAGGACTAGATCTCCGTTGTGCTCATTTTTAATCATCTCGTCGTCCATGCTACTATGCTAACGCCACCGCCACCAAGCTGCAATGATTTGCCGCGAATGAATCTGTCGATTCATCTTGTAGTGGTGCGTCAAATGCAACGTAGATTCCCATCCAATTAGATTGAATTTGGTATTGATGACGTGAAAAATAATAACGGTAACTCCATTGAAATGATTCAAAACTAAAGTAACGAGCCAATTTTTTTAAATGTAGGGAGTAGAAAGTACAGATATTTCTGTAAAAATGTAAGGAGTAGAAGTAAAAAGTCATCATAAAAATAAGTAGTAAAGTAAAGTAAAAATATCAGAAAAATCTACTTGGGTACAGTAACGAAGCATTTGTACTTCGTTACTTCCCATCTCTGTAATTAAGTTAGTATTATAAGCACCAATGAATGACATTAATACATATAAAAAAATCAAGCTTTTAGGGAATGCGCCCTTGTGAGCTTTTCTTTTGTGAACACATTCCCCTCACACACACGCAACAACAAAAAAAATCCACTTTTGCAGTCACTTCACATATTTTGGCAGGTTTTTAACACCAAAACACAAGTTTAAAGAAAAGAAGTACAATTCTGGGTGATGACACCTTTAAACCTGAACCCTGCTGTTAAGTGAAAGGGAAGTCAAACCATTTTACAAGTTTTACCTAGCTTTAGTATGAGTGAATATCCACTTTAATGAACACTACTCAATATTTTTTTTCCTCTCAAGAATTTCTTCTACTACTGTGTTATTATGCATTAATGCATTAGGAAAACATCCTATGAGTTTAAAACTTCAACAGTGGAGTGTGAGGGATTTATAATACAGAAAAGATTTAAAAATACAGGATTAAAGGATTTGAAAATGGTAGAATTTATTATTTGCTTTAAAATACAAATGAAGACTGTTTTGGTACATTCTTTATTGTTGGTGTTAAAAGTTTAAAAAATGAATCAGATCTGTTTTTGTTTTCGTTTTTTAAATAGAGAACCATGTTAAGGAGCACACAGCAGAGAGTTACATGCTGCAGTGGCAAAGAGGGCATCTCAGCAACTATGAGTATCTCCTCCATTTGAATAACCTGGCTGACCGCAGCTGCAACGACCTCTCTCAGTACCCCGTCTTCCCCTGGGTCATAGCAGACTACACCAGCACGCACTTAGGTGGGTCAGTCTGTGTGTTACAGGCCAAAAAAACAGCAGGAGGATGTGTGGAAAAACTGCAGATGTAGCAGAGGTTCTTATTCAGGACTTTTTTTTATATAATTTACCAGACTTATCAAAAGCAGCCACATTCAGAGACCTGAGTAAACCCATTGGGGCCTTGAATCAAGAGCGGCTTGACAGACTCCTGGTGAGATGCTGAAGCAGTTCTGTTTTTAAGCTCTTGCTATGTGGAGAGAGACACTCCTCTGCAACCTCTGCTGCTCCTTTCTTACAGACCCGGTACAGAGGCATGCCGGAACCCCGCTTCATCTACGGAAGTCACTACTCATCGCCCGGATACGTCCTGTTTTACCTGGTCAGAGTCGGTACGCTGCAGCACTAAACTTGGATTGTCAGCTTTTGCATACAGATATACGATGATGCAGTTACCACCCTTTTAATAAATGGTATCTGTTTGGTAAACATAAAATCAGATGTATAGATTTGGATCACATGTAAATGAAGCTTCCCTCGCTCTGTAGCTCCAGAGCACATGCTGTGTCTGCAGAATGGCCGATATGACCACGCAGACCGCATGTTCAACAGGTAAGATTTTTACCAACTTACTTAACTGCCAAAAAACCCCACTCTTCTGTATCCTGATTTCCTTTATTAACTACTATTAAAATGCTGTTATTTTCAAATTTCCAACTAACATTGGTAATGTCTATTTACTTTTGAAAAATAATACAATAGTTTATATGTGAAATTAAAGAAGACCTTCATATTTTTCAAGACACAATATTTGTGTCTTATTGGTGCTTTTTATTTCTTACAGCATCAATGAAACATGGAAAAACTGCTTAGAGGGAGCAACTGACTTTAAAGAGGTAAACGCTAAAAGTGTTTGCCGTATAGGTACGGCAAACAGAGGTGATTATGATCAACAGAGAAACAGAAAAAACTTCTGTGTACACCTGATTTAACCATGGTTGCATGCAAATTGTTGTGATTGAGCATCAGACCAAACTTTGTTTCAGAAAGTAATGTTATCGTTAAAACCACCAAAGTAGGGATCAAATCAAGGCAAACTGGATAAGATTTTGTCTTAAGAATTCGGTTTAGTCTAGAGTTTGTGGTACTGGGAAACCTTAAATATGGAGTTGTATACCAGAGATGTATGGATTGAACTGTTTTGTTCGGCCATTTTAAAGAATTAGAGAAATGATTAAGGAAGCACTTTGACAAACATGCTGAAGCCTCTTCATCCAACATCTGTGGAGAAGTATATTATATAAATGTATGTTTTATTTGTGTTCTTGGTATTTCAGCTGATCCCAGAGTTTTATGGAAGTGATTCCAGCTTCCTGGAAAACAAGTTGAATCTTGATTTGGGCCGAAGGCAGAATGGAACCTTAGTTGGTGATGTTGTTCTTCCTCCGTGGGCCTCAGGTGAGCTTCCTGTAAAACTGTGTTAAAAAGACATCCTTTATAGTCTGGAAGAGCCTGGAGTTTTTATGAAGTTATCTCCAGAATGAATGAGGGAAAATATTTTATTTAACCAGTTAAGAAAGTTAGGAACTAGTTCTTATTTATAAGGTCGATCTGGCAGCAGTAAATTAATTCTGACTTTGTTCCACATCCAGTCTGTACAAAAGTTCCATCTGTTTGTTTTTGCAGTCCATGTTTTTTTTTTTTTCACATTCATTACTCTACAAATATTTTTTTGTTTTTAGGTATAATGGAGGATTTTTGCAAATTTTTGAAAAGACCTGCCCTCTCCACTTAAAAAATAAATAAAATAAATGGACATGCACAACCCTGTACCCGCTTTTGAGAGAGAACGCCTATTAAATGCGTGCGACAGCATGAAGGAGCCCATTTCCCCTTATGCACACGCTTTTTAAAAGTTGCTGTTCTCATAGCTCATACAACCTTACTGCATCCGAACGTCCACCCTAACCCCTAAATCCCTCTATATAGAGCGTGGACTATATAGTGGACTTTATATCGAACGCAGTTAATTGACCGTTCGGACAGATCACTATTTTTTGCTCCCAGTTGGTCACGTAACTCCTCCACCTCGTGCTGCCTGCGCCATCTTTGTTATTAGTCACCACTGTTATTAGTCGCCACTGTCCCATAATGCTTTGCGATGACCGTCTGAATCCGTTGCTCACCACACATATACACCTGAATGTGCGCATGCACAGAAAATTGTAGCTAATAGGACAAGCACGTAGAACAGCCTTATGTTAGGAGGACCACTTATTTAGATGATCCACCCAGAAATCAAAGATCATCCTCTATACCTTTAACATAAATATTATTATTATATCTATCCTAAAAAAGGCCTGAAGATATGTTTAAAACTCTATTAATTTTTTTTCTTTTTGGTGTTTTTTTTTTTTTTTTCACAGATGCAAGTGATTTTCTTAAAAAGCAGAAGATGGCTCTGGAGAGCCAGTACGTATCAGAACACCTTCATGAATGGATTGACTTGGTGTTTGGCTTCAAACAGAAAGGCAGTGAAGCTGTGGCAGCTCAGAATGGTACCAGAGCCACAGTTTTTAGCTCGCTTTCAACTCAAACTGTTAAATATAAAGTTTAATCTTTTATCTTGTTTTGTTTTAGTGTTTCACCATTTGACCTATGAAGGCGGGATTGACTGTGACAGGTGTGAAAGAAAATCAGACCAGAATTATTCATTCTTCCAGATAAATCTGCTAGATTATCACTTTTATCAATTCTTTCTTTGTCCGTCTTGGAAGCATTGAGGACACAGATCAGAGAATAGCGATGCTGACGCAGATCCTGGAGTTCGGCCAGACGCCCAAACAGCTCTTCACCAGCCCACACCCTCAGAGGATCACACCCAGGCTTCAGAATATTACCCGGAGCTCAAGCATCAACTCCACCGTCAGTGAGCTGTCCCCTGGTAAGGAGACTCTTAACAGCTCAGAATCTCTGACTTGTGCCTCTGCGTTAGTGGTAATAGCTCTCTTCATCCACTACTTCTTTACCGGGGAAATAAAGCTTAAATAAAGAATTCAATAATTGTCTTTGTTCCAATACTACTTTTGTTCTGATTATGGGAAGTAGGTGTGCTTGATTAGAGGTGGAAATGAAACCTCAATGAGCTAAATTAAGCTATAATCATTCTCTGAGTAACCCAGAAACAAGATGCTAGGTCTAATCAACGTCAATCATTTGTTGAGATTTTATGTGATTAATCAAACCTCCTTCCTTAATTGAAAAAAAAGAAAAATCAAAGTTAGTGGCTTTTAAACATTTAGGTGAACCTTTCTGGATCTCAATTTTTTACAACTTCTATCTTTTTGTAGCATTGATATGAATTAACCTGCATGATTGTATTAATAAAAAAGATTATTTTGTCATCCTATAGTGTCTTTAAAGTTAGGCACTGTGTTATGTTTCAAAACAGGCTGTTTTCCTTCT